CTGGGCCTCGGGCCCGAATCGTTTCCTCGCTAGAGGACGGGCCGAGTAGGGAAACCGTCAAACCAGCGCGCGCAAGATCCGAAATTCGATGGCGCAGGCTCAAACCATCAACGAAGATCTCACCCCCGAGGCCCGGGTCCATCAGCAAAGATCTCACCCCCGAGGACCGGGTCGAAATTGGGCCCCCTAAGGCCTTCACGTAATTTCGCAACCAGCCCTTTATTTCCCCCCTATTACTTCACCTTTTAGCATTTTACTCCTCAAGCATTTCTATCTTAATTATAGGCCCCTTACTTTTGCAAGTTCTTGCTCAAATTAGTGTCTCTACTTTTGCTAGCACCCTTACTGTATGTTTCTCTTCACCTTTCTCTTGTCGATACCCTCACATCATGGTGCTTTTACCTTTATGTCTCCTTTATCAATCTCCCCCCGCAGGTTCCTCACAGCCTAACATTACCTTTCTTGTATTTTTTTCTGTTACCCTCCTCTTTATTACGTACCTTTTCTATTCATTAAATTATTCAATTCTCTTTTTTTCTTTCTCTATCTCTGCATGGAGAGGCCGGGGAACATGCTCAGCTGGGCGAGGGGGAGGCGCCGTGACAAGCGAAATCGTCGCAGGCCTCAGCTGCCCAAGCCTGAACCCGAGCTGGAACTCGCCCACCCCTCCGGGCGAAGCAGGGCGGACACAGCCTCAGTCTGCGACGAATGCTGCCCTTAGCAGGGCGGCGCAACTCACAATCAGCATCGGTCACGCATCCCAAGGCGAAACGGGCCGCATTGCAGAAAAAAACGAAGAACCTGATGCAACAAGTCTGGAGCGAAGGCATCTTTCTGGAGGTGAGCCACGAGATAATGCCACCCGCGCATGCGCAACCCATGTTGCGGCGAGCTTCCAGGTCCCATTCCACCACCTTGGGCTCGCTTCAAGAGAAGCCGGAGCATGGCAGACTTCCGGATGAGACGCGCACCGATGCCGCGCTCATCTCTCGAAACGGTAAACGGCGGCATGGTTCAATTCATCTTCTCAAGAAAGCCCCTTGTCGCACAGAGGGGGCCAGAGACCGGGCGCCAGAGGCGTGAGGGGCGAGAGAACGTCATTTCCCAAGCCGCACGGAGCGCGGCCAACGAGAGGCAGTGGGGGCACAAACTGCGGCTAATTACCCGGGCCTCCTCAGCCCGCCGATAGATTGGAACAATCGCCGCGACCCATGGAGGGCCACCGCGGCAGAACATCAGGGCAGTGAGACAGCGCTCGTTTCGTTAGGATCGGGCCTTGCCCCACCAACCTCCGAGGGAAAGGAATTCCCCGGATTTTCCCACGCCGCGCAGAGAATTCCGCTCCATGCGTTGCGCAGGACGGGGCCACACTTAACGGCCTTTTGGCCTCTTGCCGCTGACCCGCGGGCTTCGAACGCCGAACGCACGGGTCATACCTTGGTGCCGAAGGGCCGCCCCTTGGCCTTGGGGGAACGACTCCGAGCGCGTCCTGGCCAACCGGGATCCACGCGAGGCAGCCCGGGCAGAGTGCCGATCCGGCCCTGGGGCCACCGACTGGCCATAGCAAGGGCCCGCCAGAGGATGCTGGAGGAACGCGCCAGGGCCGCATTTTCGACGCTGACCTGGGCGCCGACGCCGTAGATCGAAGCTTCGCGATGGTCAGCAGCAGCCCTGGCCAGTCAAAATTTGCCCAACAAGGCCCGCGGCCAAAACCCGCTGTCGGCGATGCGCAGTTTCAGGCGCGCAGCTTGGGAGGGGCCGAGGGCGCCCAGAGCGCGAATGACACTGGCCCCGACGCAGGGCCAGTCCGCGCGCGGCCCCCGCCACGGCAAGGAAGCGGGCTCGGGCGCGCATTGCAATGCAGAGGTAAGAGATGCCAACGAGGAGCCCAGCCTAGTGGCACTTCGGCGCCAGCGCGGCCTCGCCCCCCACTGGCAGCGGCGCCCCCCGCGCGCGCAGCTTGCTTGGCGCCGCGAGACGCCGGGCCTCCTTGAATTGGCTCGCACAGAAACGGGGGCGCATCGAGCGTCGCCCAGAATCGCCAGCGAAAGGCCAGCGAAGCTTGCCAAGTACCCCGAACGCACTGCAATGAAAGCTAAAATGCGCACAGTAATCTGAGAAGGCGTAGTCGCCGAACTCCCAATGAAAACCAGCAGGTCACGAAGCAGGCGCAGGCTGGACTCGTAGATTACGTTCGCTTGCCCCATGTGGATACTGTCAGTGGCCACGGCCGAAGTGCCCCGAAGCGCCCTCGAGATGGCGAGGAGATCTTCGGGCTTGAGCGCGGGGGGCGAGGGGGTTAAAACGCCCTCGGGCATCCAAGGCCGCCTCTTGCCGCCCCCGCCCCCCCCCCCCCCGCGCCACCCCGATGGGCGAAAGCTCTTGGCGCGGAGCAGCGACGACGGATCCGCAACCGCCGTTCCATGCGACGATGAAAAGGTGGTTCGGGCCTGGTGGGCGGGCCCCTTGGACGCCGCGCGGATGCGCGCGGCCAGCCTGGTCAGCGCAAAGAAGGAACTAATCTCGCGAATCTCGCCACGCAACCGAAGCCGCCTACCTGGCATCGGATTCGACCTCCGAAAACCCGCGTGAACATTGTCGACCCAAGCAGAAACGAAACATAACGTGCCACCTCGATGCGCCGATGCGCTGGCAACCCCTTTGGCGAGCCCGTGAGACGGGAAGTAGGAGTCATGCACCTTGGAACACCGGACAAATTTACACGCAGCTTCACCTGGGATGGCCCACTGGCCCAGCTCATCCCCGATGAACGACTGCACCGCGGCCTCGGGGGGCCATGTTAAAGTTGCGATCAATAAGACCAAGGCAGCCAACAGATTCGAGTGAAGCACTTGATTTCGAGAGAATGTCCCAGTTGCCCGAAGAGGCCCTGGCAGTCGCGCAAGTACAATGAAATTGCCGAAGAACAAACCTGCGCGTCGCCTGGCTGCTAAAGAACAGAAGCAATGGCGCGGTTGTCGACCTCGGCCCCGGAACCAAGGAAGCATAATCCTATGCCAGTGGGCGCCAGAATTGCCGCGCCTGCTGACGGCCCACCATAGGGGTCTTGGCAGGCAGGCAGGCCGGGACAGCGATTTCCGCCCGCGCCCGCGGCGCCACGAGGACGCCGAGCCAAGCGCACCATGGAGCAAATCGTGCTCCTCGAGCAAGACCACATGAACAGTAGATCTTTCCAGCGACGGACGCGAAGTTGTTCCGAGCGGTCTGCGAGGGCCCCAGCGGTTCCACGAGCGGGGGCCCGGAGCGCCCTACATCCTCGGGCCGCAGAAGTCCACGACGAGACGCGGCGAGACTAGAACGCGCGGCCATGTCCACGGCGGGGCCTGCGCAGTCGGAGGGGGGCGCCGGCGCCCGGGGACAAGTCTCGAAGTCGCCCGACGCGGGGGCCCCCAGAAACTGCGCAACTCCCCGGGGGCCCCGCAGAGGGGGGGCGGAGCGCGCCCTGGTCAAGACTCGGCCAACTCCCGAAACGAGGTTCCGAGCACGGCGCAAAGTAAACCTCGCGCAAGATAATGAAGACGACTCGGACACGCGCGCGCGGACTCGACCACTGTCACCTCTGGGCCCTGGCAAATCGCAAGCGCGAGCGGCCACCCACACTAACGAAGGGCCCAGAGGCTCACCGAGGGGGGCCTCTCCATCGAGTCTGCAAGGCGGGCCCAAATGCCCGGGGGGGCGGGCTCCTGGGTCCTAAGCGGCGGAGAACTAGAGAATTGGCCGCGCCCCCTGATGGTTCTGCCAACGCCAAGGCCAGCGGAGACACGGCAGGAGCGCTGAGGCGCACTGGCGCGCCGCGCCTCAGAATTGAAATAACGCCGATGCACTTCGCGCCGCTGCCCCCCCCCCCCCCGCTACCCCGCGGCGGCGGGGGGGGGGGGCTCCTGGAGATCCGCGCGGCCAGGAGCACCCTCGCCCGTCGCGGCCTCCTGGGGCGACTCCGCGGGGGCCCCCGCGGCCGGCCCTCCGCCCTCGGGCCGAGGGGCGCCGGCAGCCCCAACGGGAGCATGAACGGGAGCACCGCCCCGGTCATCAGGTCTGCGACGACGCTTGGCGGCGAAGCGTTCGAAACCATTATCCTGGTCGTTCTGGAAGGCCCTGGCCTTGTCCACCCCGTCGCCGAAGAGCTTGAGCACGGCGCCCTGGTCTGCCTGATGAAGTTCACGCGACCTCTCAACTTCTCCCAGATCTTTGCCAATGAGCTCGCAGTCGTCCTGGGGCTTGAGCAGCGAGTCGATCGAGATTGGGATATCCTGAGCGCTGCCCTGGAGGGTGGCGGATATGCCCAACGTCGGTGGGGGGTGGGGGGCGGTGGCGGCTGGCCAGGCTGCGCCAGCTGCTCGTGCAGCTGCTGAACAAGCTTGGTGTGGGCCGCCTCCGCTTTACCGAGCGTCTCGCTGAAGCTGCGGATGCGTCCCCGCTGCTGGTCGAGGTCCACCACCATGCGATCGTACACTGCACATGCTTTCTCAGTCTTCTCCCGTAGCTCGTGCACCTCGAGGAGTGCTTGGTTGACTTCGGCCTGAAGAAGAACAGCATGGGTGGCCAAGTCGCGCTTCTTCCTGTCGAAGACGAGCTGATGCCGCTTCGCGCAGGAGGAGGAGGAAGAGGAGGAAGAAGAGGAGGAGGAAGAGGAGGAGGACGAGGAGGAGGAAGAGGAGGAGGCTTGTGTACCTAAGCTTCCTCGCCAGCCTGACTCGACGGGCGACCGCCGCGGAGCCGCAGTCGCCTGCCCATGAACGTCATGGCTCTGACAGGAGAGCCCAGAATCGAATCGATAAATCGGATCGGCAATCGACATGAATCGGATCGGCGGAAATCGGCAGCCGAATCGGGAAACGTCGAATCGGCGGAAATCGGCAGGCTAGTATGCCTCCAATCAGAAATCGGAATCCAAATCGGAAGCCCAAATCGACTCGAATCGGAATCGGAATCCATCGAAGTCGAATCGAATCGAATCGGAGGAATCGAAACGAGCCCTGCTCTGACGTCTTCATTGTCTGCGTCGTCGCGCCCTTCCCGGATGCTGCGGTGATCCGTGCCGCGCCACACGCCTCGGACGAGGAAGACAGCGACCTCTACCCGACCCTCCTTCCTCGATGTTCGGCTGGGCGCTGCCGGTGCGGCCGAAGCGGCTGTCGGCGCGCAAATGCTGGAGGAGCGGCAAGGGCACGGCGAGACTGGGGTGTCGAGACACGACCTCGGGGAAGGGCACGCGGCGGCGGGCGCCGCCCTCACTCGACCTGGCCAGCGACGAGTTTGCCATGGCAGCGGCTTCGTGGCTGCTGAAACAACCTTTGACTGGCAGCTGCATAACGCCTTCGACACGCAGGCTCGGCTAGTGAGGGCGGGCGGGTGGTGGGGGCTGGCAGCCGACGGGGGTCCCAGATGACGTGTGAATCGCAGTGCTGCGCGCTCCTTGACCCGGGTGCAACGTGTGTAACCCATTTCAACGTTTCACTTCGGCCGCGCTGAGGCGACGAGGCTTGATGTCAAGCGCATGGCGCTCCGCTTCCGCACCTCGGTCAAAAGCAGTGCTGCGTGCTCATGGCGTCCTGTGCCGTAACATGTTCTCCGTGCTTCAACCGCAGTCTTGAACTGTCTGCCGCGTTGACGCGGCGGGAATGTGCTGTCAGGTGAACGCCACTCAGCTCCTACACCTCGCGAACGATGGCCTGCGGCTCTTCACGCTCGTGGCCCCCAGTGCAGAATCTGTATGTTCGTGGCTCTCTGCCTCAACTCTTGCACTCTTGCCGCGCTGAAGTGCGCAACGGTGGGGAAGACGGCGGGACTGTCGCAGCCCCCCCGTGGAGCACGGCACTCCGCTTCCGCCCACTCCTGAGGATTCTGCCGCCCTCGCGCTTGGCAACGTGTACCCTCTGTTCTGCGCGCTGCCGGGCGCACCCCGGCTGTGTACCCATCGGACGGAAGAAGTAGGTAGAAACATGAAGTAGGAAGGCGTTGGAAATAGATTGGGTTTCCGCCCGCCTCCTGAAGAGGAAGGAAAAAGGAAAACCACCCGACTCTTGAAGTAGGAAGGCGCTGAAAGTAGATTGGAATCTGGGAATCCAAAAATACCTACTTTCAACGACCGATGGGTACCCTCTGTTCTGCGCGCTGCCTTGGCGCACCCCGGCCGTGTACTGTCCAGCGCGTCCTCTGCAAGGGCGTCGCATCAGCCACGACTCCCTGCCGCCTCGGACTGGCGGTGAGCTTCTAGGGTGGCCCTGATCTGGGCGGCGCCTGGGTGGTCCTGGCGCAGGGCGGCAGTTTTGTCCGTCGGGTTCGTGGCTACGGCCCCCGTGTCACATACCTATACGACCACCCTTCGGGTGATAAGGAGGTTCGGGGGGGGGGGAAACCAACGTCTCACTCGATCGGTCTCACTATCGATCTCAGTATCGATCTCACTATCGGTCTCGCTCGATCGATCTCACACGATCGATCTCACCATCGATCTCACTCGATCTATCTCATTCGATCGATCTCACAATTGATCTCACAATCGATCTCACAATCGATCACACAATCGATCTCGCATTCGGTCTCAATATCGATCTCACGATCGATATCACAATCGCTCTCACAATCAACGTCATCATCATCATCATCATCATCAACACCATCATCAACATCATCATCGTCATCATCACCAACCTCGTCATCATCATGAGGGCACCGTCATTATCATATACATCATCATCAACGTCAGCATCATCATCGGGACAACATCATCATCACCATCATCATCTCATCATCAACATCATCATCATCACCATTGGGACACAGTCATCGTCATCATCATCAGCAGCATCATCATAATCATCATCATAATCGGAACACCATCATGATCACCATCGTTTTCATCATCAACATTATCATCAACATCGTCATCATCCTCGGGACACCATCATCATGATCATCGCATCATCATTCATAGACATCCTCATTCTCATTGCATCCAACAACATTTATCATTGAGGACACATCCCGCGATACCATATCATCACCATCCTATATCATCATCAAGCAGGCCATCATGGGACACCATAATCATATCACCATCATCATCATCACATCCATTATCGACCGGACCCATTTCCCATCCAACATCATCTTCACAACTCATCGGAATCATCATTCATCATCATCATCTCCATCATCATCATCATCATCAGCATCATCATCGGGACACCATCATCGTCATCATCATCAACATAATCATCATGATCATCATCATCCTCAACATCGGGACACTATCATCATCATCGACACCATCATCAACATCATCATCATCTTCATCGGGACACCATCGTCATCATCATCTCATCATCATCATCATCATCATCATCATCATCATCATCATCATCATCATCATCATCATCATCATCATCATCATCATCATCATCATTATCATCATCATCGGGACACCGACGGGACACCGACGGGACACCAGCGGGACACCTGCGGGACACCGCGGGGCCCCGGCCGCCCGGAAGGGAATCATTTGGTCCGGCCGCGCCTCAGCCACACGGGACACCAGCGGGACACCGGCGGGACACCGCGGGCCACCGGCCGCCCGGAAGGGAATCATTTGGTCCGGCCGCGCCTCAGCCACAGGAGACTTTCTCTCGCCCGCCCACGCAGGATCGCTTCGCCCGCACGCACCGCACGCACGAACACGAAACCGAAATCGATTTCCCGGTAGGGGGGCTCTCCGTTCCACTTCGATCTCACCCCCTCACCTCCGACCTCAGGGTGGCCCTGATCTGGGCGGCGCCTGGCTGGTCCTGGCGCAGGGCGGCAGTTCTGTCCGCCGTCGGGTTCGTGGCTAGGGCCCCCGTGTCACATACCCGTACACTGCGGAGCTATCATCGTCGTAATGGTCATCTCTTCATCGTCGTTGTCACCATCATCTCGCTTTCCGCCTCAGGTCAGAATATCGTCGACATCATGGTCATCACCATCGGAATCAAGAAAGCGGCGTCGCCACCATCAACAGGACCATTGGCGTTCCCACCGTCGTCGTTATCACCAACACCATCACCGTCACCATCGCAAATTACCGTCACACGTCATCACATCATATCATATCATCATCATCATCATCATCATCACATATCATCATATCATCATCATCATCATCATCATCATCATCATCATCATCATCATCACCATCACCATCACCATCACCATCACCATCACCATCATCATCACCATCACCATCACCATCACCATCACCATCACCATCATCATCACCATCATCGTCATCATCAGCAGCATCAGCATCATCAGCAGCATCATACTCACAATCAGCAGCATCAGCAGCATCAGCATCAGCCTCAACAACAGCTTTATCCTCGTCGTCATCATCCTCATTACATAACACCGTGCTAATGATAGCCTTCTTCGTTGCCGTCGTCACCCTACCCCTCCACATCACACTCTTCACACTCATGCTCCTATCCACCCCATATGTCATTTAACATCTGCGTTCGTGAGCCTCATCGCTGCAATCGCCATCACCAACACGAGGCACCTTGCCGACGGCAGCGAACGCGGGGATCACCAGCACTGCGAACCGACGGTTGCGGTAGCAGGGCCAAGTGCGGTAGGTATTTGTCGCTGGACGGCTGAATGAAGGAAGCATGGATGACCAGAAATGACAGGGCATGGAATAAAGGAGAGGTCGAGGCTGAGGGACAGATGTATAAGAGGGGCGACGAGAAACGGATAGGGAATCCGCCGTCCCTGTCAGCGTGTGTGTGTGTGTGTGACGTTCTTCCGTTTGGGTCGTCGTCGTCGCTCTTCTTTGGACGCCCGAAATGGGTACGGAAGGAATGGACACAATGCCCAACAGCAAATGTTGTCCCGAACCAACAACGACCGCTGTTTGGCAGGCGGCCTTCTGTCTCAAATGGAAACAAGCCGCGGCGGCGCGGACAGCGAGTCCTGTTCAAAATGAACAGGAACTACTGCTGGGCATCGTACCCACTCTTTCCGTGCCCGTGTCCGTCGTCGATCTTCCATTTTCCCTTTTCCCTGGGCCCTCCTCGTCAAGCCCCTCTCCTCTGATCCCTTCCTTTTGGGGGGCAGCGGGGGGCGGAGTCCCGGAGGGGGGCGGGTCCGGGGAAAGGGGCGCAGGCGGAGGGTGCCGGGGAGGGGTGGTCCCGGGGGGGGGGAGGGCCCGGGGGTCGTGTCTTTGGAGACGGGGGACGGCACCGGCCTAAGGCCTTCTCCATAAACATGAGGCGCGAGTTCCCAGAAGGGCTGCGAGAGAAGTAGGAGTATGAGGATGATGATGGTCACACCGCGCACCTCGTGCGCTGGGGCGAAGCTTAAAATATTGCGACATCTGCAGACGAGGAGAAGGAGAGAAGGAGGAAAATGAGAAGAGGGAGGATGAGGAGGGGGTGGATGCGAGGAAGATAAGGATATGAGGGGGATGGGGGAGACATAATCTACACAGAAAGCAGACTGCGCAGAGCTAGGCCCACGCCAGGCAGCCTTCTCATAGAGGAGAGGCCGATGACCGCCTTGTGCTCGTGGAGAGCTGAAAATCCGGCAACAGAGCGTGTGCGAAGCTTGGCTGCCCCCATGTTTTCCTCCACGGCGGGTCCAACATTCCGTTTCACGGGGGGCTTGCCGTCGCTCGGACGTCTATTTCCCATGCATTTTTCGGTTTCGTGCGTGTTTCTTTTTGCTCGATGGTCCAGGATGGTCCTCGATGGTTCTCGCCTAGAAAAAATGCACACGTCCGAGCGATGCCGAGGGGGTACAAACCCCTCAATGCACCCTCCGACCCCTCCGAAACAGCTCACCAACCTGCAGGTCCTTCGAGACGGGTCAAGACTGCCGTGGAGGGCCTCGGGTGGCCAGAGCTGGCTCGGAATGGCACCGCAAAACCTCAGAGCGATCCCAAGATGGCTCAAGAGATCGCCAGAGAGCCCAAGCTGGCTCCGCGAAGGGCTCCGCGGAGGGCCCAACATCGTCGAATCCGATTCGGCTGTCGCATGCCTCATGCATTCCTGACTACCTACCAGACCACCCCAACCCAACCCGAAGACCCGAATTTCGGGTTGGGGGGGTAATGGTTCCACATGTGTTTTTTCAAGGTTTCCCGACCCCCCCCCCACTGGAAATCGAGGGTAAATCTGAGCCTTCGGGTTGCGTTGGGGTGGTTTGGTGGGTGGTGATCCCTGCTCTTCGGCTCCGCAAGCCCTTCAAAGGATGCGCCGCAGAGGCCTCTCCGAGATCCAAGGGGAGCCTCCTCGAGACTCCAAGACGGCCGCAAACATGCTCGCAAGACATCCCCACGGCTTCCTCAAGATTGCCTCGGAGGCTCCCGG